GAAAAATATCCATATTCAAAACGTAATAATCACTTTAATGTAGCTTGCGCTCACTGTTGTACACGGAAGCAGTTCAGGGCTGATGACGTATGAGGTCAGCGTTGCACATGCGCCGGTGAGTCTCGTGAAAACCAACGTTTGTTAACAGGAGCAAAGGAAGCAAAGTTTCCTTACTTTAGCAAAGCAAAACCAGTCTCCTCTTGGCTTATATCGAAATCCTCCAACATTCTTCTTTACAAATCCTCGTTTTGTACTTCTAATTAGTGACTGTTGTTTTGTTTTGATCTCCCCTGCGCTTCCGCGTTCGTCACTTCTGAGCGGCGCATGCGCAAAGCCGACCTCATACGTCATCCGCCCGGAGCTGCTTCCGTATAGGACTGTTGGTGCAAGCTACATTAAAGTGATTATTAAATTTTGAATATGGATATTTTTCTTACAAAAATGCATTGATTCACTACAGAAGGCCTTTGTTCACCCCCCGGAGCCGTGTGAGACACTTTTTTTTAATGGATGGGTGCCTTTTTATTTAACTTTTTTTGGACTGATGCATGCAACACCCGCTGAGTGGCAAAAACACTCTGTTTATACTGAAAAACAGTGTCGTCTTGGCTTTTTAAAAAACACTCCCATATTCTTGTGTGCTGTACAGAGATTTGTGATTTCTCTGGACACCTATTTTAGTGGTATTTTACAGTAGATTTAAAGAGTTGGTTCACCCTAAAGTGAAAATTACTCTCCCTCATGTCGATTCAAACTGCTTGATTTATATGGATTTATTTTATGATGTCTGTATGCACGTTTTGAAGTGTCAGAGTTCTAATGGAGGGAGAAGAAATCGCTCAGATTTCATAAAAAATATCTCCAATTGTTTTCCGGAGATAGTCTTATGGGTTTGGAACAACATGAGATTGAGTAAATTATTTTTGGGTGGAATTATGCTAATGCATCAGTGAAAACTTTTTCTGTCCCTAACAGTTCTGTGGAGAATGGGCAGCTTTCTGATCCAGCCCACTGGGCCGTAGCTGATGTGGTCAATTATTTTAAAGCTACAGGGTTTGAGGAGCAAGCCAACGCTTTCCAGGATCAGGTAGGAATTTGTTGTCATATTCCTAAATCTTATTTGCTGCACCTTTTTTTTTTTTTTTTTATATTTCTACATCCTAACTAGATTCAGAGTTTCTTCTGCTCATCAAGGCTGCATTTATTTGATCAAAAATACAGGGAAAAAATTTAATATTGTGAAATATTATTATGATGTTGTAAAATAAAGATTTTCTATTTTAATATACATTCAAATCTAATTTATTCCATTCTAATATGCTGATATATTATCAGTGTTGGAAACTGTTGTGCTGCATAATATTTTTTTTGAACCTGTGATACTTTTTTTCAGGATTCTTTCATGAATAAAAAGTTTAAAAGAAGAGCATTTATTTAAAATATAAATATTTTCTAACAATATACACTACCGTTCAAAAGTTTGGGGTCAGTAAATTTTTATTCTTTCTTTTTTTTAAGAAATTAAAACTTTTATTCAGCAAGGATGTGTTAAATTGTTAAGAAGTGATAGCAACGATTTATATTGTTAGAAAAGATTTCTATTTTTAATAAATGCTTTTCTTTTTAACTTTTTATTCATCAAAGAATCTTGAAAAAAGTATCCATAAGTTTCCAAAAAAATATTTGTCAGCTCAACTGTTGCCAACATTGATCATTCTAATAATAAATCAGCATATTAGAATGATTTCTGAAGGATCATGTGACACTTTATACTGGAGTAATGGCTGATGGAAATTCAGTTTTTGTAAATATTTCTACATACTAACCAGATTCATATGATATAATAGTGTGAATATATATATATATATATATATATATATATATATAAATTTTTTTTTTGCTTATTTAATAATTTAAGTCACTTTGGAGAAAATGTCGAAATGAATAAATGTTCATAACAGAAATAGCAATAGACAATTTACAAAACAATCTTGACTGAACGAAATAAGTCATTATTTTTCCAACCATTAGAAATGCAGTGATATTTTATCCTTGCATTTCTCCCAAACATTTCTCGAAAGCTCTGACCCCCAGTTCTCAACAAAAAGAATGTACAGTAATAACATGGTTTGTATTTACATTTTTGAGGCAATTAATTATTTGTTGAGCTAATCTTTATTATGTATGATATACTTTAGATCTGGAATATTAAACTATATAACTATAACTAAATGCCTTTTTCATGTTTATCTCTCATTTATCTGATCAGTGGAGCAGCGCTTCATCATTTTATAAGACAATCATGTTATCAATAGATAATATCATTTTATTATTTATCTCTTGTCTTTTTTGCTCAACTTTCCCTGACAGGAAATCGATGGCAAATCCCTTTTATTAATGACTCGAAATGACGTTCTGACCGGACTGTCAATAAAACTGGGTCCTGCACTGAAGATCTATGAGTATCACGTCAAGCCTCTCCAAACCCAGCACTTAAAAGGTAACGTCTCATAGCTACTGCAGCCACATGGATGCATAGAAGACAATCACAGCAGGGGCGCAGGGTAACTGCACGCAGAACTAATACATTTTATGCATCTTAATAAATAAACATGGTGAATTTATTGCTTTTAAGGTCTCATTCTGCTGTACAGGTATATTTACTGTTTTTAGTTTACCTACGTTTAACATGTTCATTCAGATTTTACCTTCACTTTGTGTGCTTGTACATAAATCATTATTGCTTTTAAGTTTAATAACGGGATCTGTGATGAAAAATGGCTTGAACTAAAATTGAAACACTATTCTTGAAGATGTTTCTGTGTACCGCATGAAGTGCTTTTGAACGGAAATGAGAGGGAGGTTGTCGCCGCAATTGTGATTTTTATCGGTTTATTTTTCCTTTTGGTTTTTCTGGTTTTTAATAGATAAAAAGTGTGTTGAGATAAAGTAACAGCACAAATGATCAAATGTCTGAAAATGATGTATTTACTGTGGTTTACAGCTATAAAGGCTCAACGCATTAGGGCTTTGTTTGCAGGAATCCTGTCAGAATGACAGTGCTTTGTGCTGCTATAAATTCAGTTTATTTATTTCATTCTGTAACTAACAATGTGATTCCTGATGAATTGGTGAATTGTTGTTTTTGAAAGCCAGCACAACACTGTAAATCTACAGCGGTTTGGGATACAGGGTGTTTTAAAAGATGGAACAAAAGTGAGTGTAGACTGCAATAAATGGTGCTTTTTCAGACTGCTAAAAAATCCACATCCTGGTCCTCATTACAGTGCTGTGTGACTTCCTTTTGTGTGTATGTGGTATTTGATATATATATCTAAAAAAAAAATGGATAATTAAATGTAATAATCAATTTTCCACTTAAAACCAATCTCCTTAAACAATGAAATCCCAGATATGTTACATGCATGTTTATCTAATTCAGTTTTCTTTTTTTTTTCTAAACTTGATTCCTTATTATAGTAAGGTGATGAAGCTAATTGTTCTTTAATGTTAATGATTATTTTAATTGTGTTGTGTTTACTCCAAAAACACTGCTGTAAACACCTTTCAACTCCAAACAAACTGAAATTTTATTAAAATCTACATTTTTAAAATCTATTATAAATGAATTCAAACAAAGTTATAAAGATGAACACTTACACATTTTTGGACTATATTTATTAATATATTTATCCGAGATTAGAATGATGTTTTCATTTCAACAGTTTTCTATTTTTTATTTTACTTGTGTGATTACACAAATACATGTTTCTAAGTTATAAATTAAGTTTGTTGAATGTTTAGACAGATAATCATGCCTAACTTGAGATTGCTTTTACAGGGTTTATTTATAAGATGTCTGGTTTGTGAATGTTGTATTTATTTTTCTTTACATTTTGGCTCGTGGTTTTCTGCGTACAGTGCCTGTGATGTTTCCTGATGGATTATCAAGGGGAAGATAAACCTGAAATGAAAGCACAGCAACATATTGTGACGTGAATTTAAAATATAAATACAATCAAAGCAACATCATTACTTTATTATCTCTAAGTTGGGATAGCAAAACATCCTTCTCCTGCTCCTGTGTGTGTGGTTTTTAAAAGTTTGGCAATAAAGTCATTTTAAGAGTAGCAGTCTCACAAGTCCTGATTTTGTCACAAGAGCCTGAAAACTCTAGACTTTGTCCTTTGTCAATAGAGAAGTATATTCAGACCGATCTGAACTGATAACCTCTGTTTGACTGACTCTTCTTTCCAAAGTTTTCCAATGGATTTCTGTCACTCACCTCATCCTTGTTTGAGAGTCCAATCTTTGTCATATCAATGACAAAGTAATGCTGATTCGGCATAATTATCTCAATTTCTTCAACCTACGGGATCAAAGTGATGACGACACTTTTTGAGTTTTTTTACATTTACTTTCAAGTATACTTATAAATGAGTAACATAAAGCAATAAACCACCAATAACTTAAGTATGAGCAATAGTAATGCTTACCTTAGCAAACACTATAACTAAAATCTAATGACTATATGTAAATGTAAAGTCACACAAAAATGAAATCGGTTTGAGTTACCTGCGGAATTCTGTCAAGCACCAGAATTTGTGTTTCATACAGAGTTTTCTGAACAGAAGGAGAGTATTCCCCACGATCGTAGGGTCCTGCAAATGTCTGAATGATGGTGTCCTTAACAGTTTTCCTACAAGGAAATTGTCATTACAGGAAGTTATAATACACAGTACAGCATGTAATAGAACATATAACATATCATGTGCTATAGAATGTCTAAATGTTTTGCATTTACCATGCAGCATCAAATGCCACATTCACATGAGTGTTGTAGCGCCATCTTGCATAAACAGAAGTGCAGAAGAATCTGTCCTTCGCATCTGTCAGAGTGGTGAAACGGTCCCGTAGGAAGCCTTCAAATCCAGACCGAGTAGTCTTCAGTACCTTCATATCTTTTATACCGCTGTGAACCACTGGAGTCACTGATAAAAATATATATATATTTGCTGAAATAAAGCAAGAATATGCTTTCCCCTTAATACTTTCAGACCACCATCACTAGTTCAGAATCTCATTTTTACTCACTACTCAAATGTTGTTCTACCTCACAGAAGTGCCAGGCCTCTGGACAATGGATGAAAGCATGTGTGTGCTCGACTCCATTCTGTTAAACATATATTAATAATATTTTGGGTATTAAATACGTGTTAATCAGCTATATGATGCTAGTCAATAAGTATTATAGTGTAGTTAATAAAATGTAATGTATTTAATAAAAATCAATGATATAATTTAAACATCAAACAAAATGGCATCTGCAAATAATTCAATGCTAGAGCATGCTTTTCTGTTGTTGTTGTTGTTTTTTATTTATTTATTTTTTTTCATTTATCTTTCAGTGACTGGTGTCAAGGTGATTTTTAGTGGATGTTTGAAGTCAGATCCATCTAAGCCCAAGCATTTGCTGTGAAATCATCACTGATTATTCTTAAGTAAACATAAGAATAACATTTATATTGTTAGTAATATTTTAAGACAAACACTTACTGGGATGAAACTTATACTTCATAATCAATACTTTTTTTTTAAAGAAAAATGTTTAATTGTAGCAAATTTGATACATGAAGTTCCCTATCGATGCTTCACTCGTACTGCGTCTTGCTTAAGACGCACTGTTCAATAACGCAGTGTAACTGCACGGCCATTGGTTCGTGCAGTAATTTAAAAACGAAGTCCTAGCACCAGAGTTACTACAGGTGTAGTACATCAAATAAACCCAGAAAGTTTCCAAAGTTATATCAGCTATCCCATGGGGTGCCTCAGGGTTCAGTTATTGGTCCCCTTCTCTTCTCGACATAGACCACCTCACTCAGCCCAATAATAAAAGTAAACAGCTATTCCCATCAGTGCTACACAGATGATATACAGATGTCATTCCAACCTGGCACTATCTGCACTATCTGGCACTATCTCAGATTGTATTTCTGCTTGCGATTCAGGCATTTTGGCCTGGGTGAAGGGATGCCACCTTCAGCTTAACTTTGCAAACACAGAACTCCTGGTCAGCCCAGCTAGACACTTCTTTTTAAAGGCACTTTTAAAATAATAATAATAATTATAATTATTCATTTATTTATTTATTTTATAAACTTTTCTGATCTTCTCTAGCTTTGGATCTCTTGCAGTACCGTGGGTATTGTTGGCTTTTGTATAATAAATTACTTGTGACGTTCCTCATTCCTAATTGTTTTACTAAATGACTAAATATTAATACAAATGTACATACTTTTTGGGAGTCACTGTATATATTCTGCTTTAGTGGTAACACAACACCTTTTCCAGCCTTTTCCAGGGAACTTCATCAATGTTGACCCTCACTCTTGTGACATGATTGAACGCTGTTACGAAATGTTCGCAGATATCCAGGGCAAAGCCCTCAATGGTCTTAATCTGCAAGACAAGAAATATTCTGTGCTTTGAGGCATACCATCATGGCTTAATTTAACAAAACATTAACTGTTTAATTGCAAGATGACTTAACTTCATTTAATAATCATTTCATAGAATACATTAGACATTCTTGTTGATTATCTAAAGTAATGTTGGTTGGCAATCACTCTAAAAATGCATATGTAGCTGTTTCTACTTGAACTGTGGTAGTTATATTAAATATTTGACTTCTAGGCTAATTTATAACATGAAGTACCATATTATGTAACAAAAATTATGTTTACAATGTCATTTTTGTTTGCTTTCATTTATATTTGGGGAAGACAATTATGAATATACTGTAGGTAAAATAAGTAAGGTGCAGGGGCTAAACTAAATGTATAAAAGGACCTACTCCTTTTAGTTTGGCGAGAGCGTGGACGGTGTTTTTGATGGTGTCAGTGGGGATGATATCAGAGTTGTCTCCTGTCAAGTAGTCTTTGCGCGTCTTCAGGGTTAACTGAACATCTGCAATCAGCTCAGTAATATGGTGATGAATCCCTTCACGGCGAATGTGAAAAACTTTAACCGTATTCTTCCCATAGCCTGTTCTCACAAACTCCACATTCTACATGAGACATGTTATTAAATAATATTGCAGTTCAAATGGATTTTTTTAAAGAGGCTGGTATGCATCCGCACACATACAGTATGAATGAAAAACAAATTTCTTTACCTGATTTGAGGTAGTGGCCATGACTGTAAAAGTTACTGACTGCAACTGTGGTTGGAGGAGGTTTTGGAGGGAGCAAAGGGTTTTGCTGAGGAGGTGGTGTCACATACCAGTTTTGATGTTTTGGGTCCAAATGATCAATGATCTGCCCCACCTCCATAAACCTCTACAGAGATTTTGATTTGCTGAAAGCCCTCCAAAACAAGCCACCTCTCCTCTCTACTAATGTCTGCCACATAAAGGTTTTGAGGACTCTCAGTTTAGGCGTCTTGCGCATATTGTATTATTCATTCAAAGAGCAAACATTCACCGGGACAACGATATATGAAACTATTGCATTCCAAGCATTTGCTGTGAAATCATCACTGATTATTCTTAAGTAAACATAAGAATAACATTTATATTGTTAGTAATATTTTAAGACAAACACTTACTGGGATGAAACTTATACTTCATAATCAATACTTTTTTTTTTAAAGAAAAATGTTTAATTGTAGCAAATTTGATACATGAAGTTCCCTATCGATGCTTCACTCGTACTGCGTCTTGCTTAAGACGCACTGTTCAATAACGCAGTGTAACTGCACGGCCATTGGTTCGTGCAGTAAATTAAAAACGAACCAATGGCTCGGCAGCGGAGCTGCATGAGCCTATGGCAGTATAGCCCGCCAGAATGGGCGGTGTCATCTGGCTATATAAGCGGGCATTTTCACCATAGGATCTTCAGATTTCTTCGCCACTTCTCTCGTCGCCTTCAGCGTCGCAGCAGCAGTGGTCACGGTTTTTCCCCTGCCGCCATCCGGCGAGCATACATAAAAGGGCATATTTCTAAAGAGCAAATTTTGTGGCGTTGCTGCAAATGCTGTGCTGTTATTGCAGCGTGTGCAGGTCTCCCCTGCATGCTGATGACAGCCACAGTGAGTGTGCTTCCTGCTTGGGGAAATCCCACGCGGAAGCTGCCCTCATGGAGACAAACTGTTCTCCCTGCGAGAGCATGAGTCTCGCCACTCTGCGATCGCGGA